TTTGCTTTTTATATTATGTTATTACATTTGTGATTTTTCCTTTCTATTTGAGTTATTATTTAAAAAAAAATAATAAAAGAGGGGAACTGTTAGGTATTTTAGTACCATGGGAGCATTTACTGGATATTGTTTTATAGTGACATTATGCAGGAAAACTCTGTCATTCAATAAGGCCCCTTTGTTTTAGTTATTGTTCTCTTTGACCCAAGAATTGATGTGTGAGAATCACAGGCTGGTACAAGGTTGAAATACCACAGAGATCACTCCCTCAGCTACATTAGTTTCTTAATCTTTTAGGAGACGCCTGTTGAAGGCCAGATGGTTTGTTTCAGAATTCACTAATGAAAGAACTCTTTATTTCGTGCCTTGAAAATATGTCGCTGAGATAATCACAATTGTAGCTGAACTGATACACTATACAAAGGATGCTTCTTCACCCAAGGGCAGAAAGACGCTCCCTTATCTTGGTCTGTACTGGTTTAAACTGAGAATCTGCTGACTCATGAATTTGTCCCTCTATATAAACTGTTGTACTTGTGAATAAAGTTGAGTCAATTTGGGAAGACAACCTGAAGCAGTCTCTGTTTTCTTGTTCTCCCAAGCTGCTCCCGAGCTCGTACTAACACGCTGAATGGCATGCTTGAATATTACTTGAGAATATATTTGACTGTGTTACAGACTAAGGTACATTCTCTGCTGATAGACGTCCACGCCTCGGAGGAAGCCGATCCACGGATTAGGCCCTGGAAGCCGTTTCCTTCAGTGATAATGTAACACATTATCACAGTTTAGCGTGTTGTGTTGTGTTGGATTGTTACGTTTTTAAAGCTTTGTAATGCGACAGGTGCGATAGCCGACACCACACCTTCACCTGACGTACAACGTGACGTATGACGCACACGTTGGGTATTCACTTTCAAAACAACACTGGGGATAGAAAATAGTGCTCGAGGTGGTTAATGCTCCTTTCGCTGGTTGCCAACCACCATTAAATAACAACAAGAAGAAAATATTGATCTGCTTCTCTTAGTTTTGCACGTTTAAGCCGCAATTCAGACTCAAAAAAAGCTGCAAAGCAGGAGAACGACATGGCCATCAAATATTCTGTGCCACAGATACAGTTCGCTGCAGCACAGAGTGATGATGAGACCGTTAACATGTGCAACTTAGAAGTAGTCAGAGGTAACTGGATGTTCAATCGGGTTAAATGCAAGGTTGATTGGATTATATCTGAAGATCGTATGCTATTCGTGGTAACTCTGCTAGACTTCAAATTGCTGCTCGTCCATGCGGGAGTATCTCAAAATTAAATGAAACCACTTAACACTTTTTCCCTAAAACGGACTGACATGGGACACATTAAAGTTGGATCGGAACCTGCTAATCAGTCTGAAGGTAAGTGTTTTTTTCACTTATTCGAGAGAAGTCCGAAATGCGTTCTTAGTACTGTTTGTTTTGACTTTTAAGCTACCCTACCAGGATATTTTCATTTAAAGACAAATTGTCAATATCTCTGAATGTGGAGACTCAAAAGACTAGTTAGGTAATTTGCCGATGGATTTATGAGACTTGATAGAAACTTGGACGTTTGCAACAGGTGAATCGGTGAACTACCGAGGTTGCGCCCAAATGCTTAAAGCTGTTAGCTGGTCAGTGTTTTCAGGTGTGCTTGTACTACCTGTACGGTGCGGAGTGCTGACTAAGTCATGTTAAACCCATTAAAGCGTCGAGCTCAAATATCTTTTCATTTTTGTGCACTGTTCTCTTGTTGGCACACATTTTCTGTTTATTGAAGCCTTTTGTGAATAATTTTGATCATGTAAAAACTGGGAATTGGTCCCTATTGACAATACTCTTATTTTTTGCATTGAATATGTCATTCAGGAAAGGTAATTGGTCACTGAAGTTTTTGCAACTGTGTATTTCTAAATTTTGTGGCTTCAGTGCACACAAATTTATATTGTTCAGTTTGCATGTTAAAAGCCTGCCAAGCACCCCAAGGCTGATTATGCTTGGTAAGAAGTCATTTATGACATAGAGCTGATTAGACCATATTAAAATTTCTGTTTGGCACAGGAGCTTTTCGTGGACACAGGTATCCAGTCTCTGTTTTGTTAGCTCAAATTTCTGTAATTTCCTTTATAAACCAAGGTTGTTGGACATGTGTCTCAGTGAATCCAGCAAAGTAACAATATCAAATTTCACATTACATATTACTGATCAACAGTAGTCTAGCTACACCAACAGCAGAAATACTGAAGTCAATACTGTAAAGTTTAACAGCAACACAAACTATAAACTCCAAAATAACCATACAGTTGATTCACCTCCGGTACTTTAACTGGGCTGACTCTTTGTTAGGTGTGTTTAATGTGCAGAATAATTCCCAATTATATACAATTATAATATGTTAAAATGGACCTATGTACACAAGGCCATTAATAATTAACTGTACGTAGGTATTTGCTTTATGACTATCTAGACAGTGTGAAGAAGTGAAGTATTGAAATTATTTTATGTTGCATAATGACAACATGTTGCCCCTATACATTTAAGGACAAAGTTCAATGACCGCCACCTGCTGGATGGTGAGTGCAGAGGGGCGTGTAATTGTTGAGCTGGACAAAGAGAACACCTGTGCTGATGCAATGTCAGTCTTCTTTGGTTCATTCTATGTATTGAACCTGGAATACCAGGAGTCAGCGGGTGCAAGGTTTTTTGTAAGGATAAACCCTGAAGAGGGAACAAAATGTACCTCCAAGGTTGGGACAAGCAGGAAGACTGGGACCACTGTGAAGCGAAAGGTTGTTCACATTAACCCTCATGTCACAACTTTCCTCCAGTGGCTTACTGAATTTGAGTGGAGAACTTCAAATTAGGGAAATTAGTAAATTTCTTGTATAATTTAAGTGACCAATGTGTTGTTACCCATGTCTCCACAGATGATCCATGGCCCATGCTTTCTGGACATTTACACAAGACGAGCAACAATGAAGACAAGCTCTCTCGCCATCTTGCAAGACGCTGTCTCTGTCCAATAGGTTTTTTTGAGTGCAACAGTTTTGATTTTTTTCCCTTCTTTTACCCATCCATCCATCCATTCACTTCCGCTTATCCTTTTTCAGGGTCGCGGGGGGCGCTGGAGCCTATCCCAGCTGTCATAGGACGAAAGGCGGGGTACACCCTGGACAGGTCGCCAGTCTGTCGCAGGGCCAACACACAGGGACAGACAACCATTCACACTCACATTCACTCGCACATTCACACCTAGTGGCAATTTGGATTATCCAATTAACCTATCCCCACAAGCTGCATGTCTTTGGACGGTGGGAGGAAGCCGGAGTACCCGGAGAGAACCCACGCAAACACGGGGAGAACATGCAAACTCCACACAGAAAGACCTGATGGTGGAATTGAACTCAGGACCTTCTTGCTGTGTGGCAACAGTGCTAACCTTCTTTTACCCGTTTGTTAAAAATTATTTCAGCTACTTACACTTTAATTGTCACATGTATTGGCTCACCCTACAAATCAATGAACTCAGTCCACAAAGCAAGATCAGGGTTCAGTGCAGGTCAGTCAAGTTCCTTCACACCACACACGCTCATCCATGTCCTTGTGGACCCTGTTTTGTGCAATGATTTGGTCGTGTGAGCCAGTATTTTGGACAAAGTGTATATAAAGGCAGACGTGTGGGGCTTGATATTATATCCATTACAATTCAGTTTGTTTGTATGGTGCCAACAAAATGAATGCCAAGGCACTTCACATTGTAGGTTTGAGACCCTACAAAATATAAGTAAGGAAACCCAACACTTGAGCATGTGTTGTCTGCCATGATATGGATATGACATAATATTGTTATTGTTTGTACAACCATCTGAGAAAATAATGGATTACATGGTTTAGTAAAAACAAGTGCTTCCTCAATAAAAATATGTTTTCAGTTCTTTTCAGTTTTTGATTTTGGAAATGTGCATTTCAGCAGGGAAGAATCAGAATTGAAATAAAGTGGTGTAAAGCACATGAATTATATTTTGTGTGTGTGTGTGTGTGTGTGTGTGTGTGTGTGTGTGTGTGTGTGTGTGTGTGTATCCATCCATCCAACTTTTTTGGAACCCTCCAGTCTCTTACAGTATGTTACTGTTAACTGAAATTACGGTAAATTACGACCTTTTAAAAGAGTAAATGACCGCCTGTTAGGACACGGTGTCCTCTAGCAGAGATGAATATTTTTGGTACTGATGATGCGTGATAACGGTAAGTTACTGGTTAATATATTGCAGTTTATTACCTTGCAGCGGGCTTACAGTGACATACCGTGAATAAACGGTAGTATACCAATTTATTAATCACAGTATGATGTTACTTTGTTGACGTAATTTACGACATAACGACATAACGGTATCTCACTGACATAACTGTCGCCAGTGAGATACCGTAAAAAAGGCTACGGTGCGTTACCATAATTTGTCCAAGAGTATTATACCACACCAGCAAAAAACGGTATCATCCTGCAGAAAGGTAAGCTAGCGTAACACGGCGTCACGATATGACGCTGGCAGCAGTGACGCCAGTATGTTACCGTAAAGTGGCGATGAAAAGTCTAACGGTGCAGATACACGGAGTAATCAGAAAAGTTTAGCATGAATCTGGACATTAGATTTAAGATTTAAGTTTTAAGCTCATCAGATATCACTTGTTAGAAGCTCCTTACCGTTTGAATAAATCTCTTCTCAATCTGCTGTCCTCTTCTGCTTGCATCTTTTTTTTTTCATCTAACACTGACGTTATTTTTTCTCCGTGAAAAACACAGCAACTCATCTTATCCCGGGGTGCCAGGAAGTCGAGCTGCGGATCTCAGCAGAAAACTTTTCAAACTGATTGCAGGTTGATCCAGGTATACATTTGAAACAGGTTCTCCTCGGTGACGTGACAGTCGGAATGCATCTGCGTAACCATGGTTACAGGGGGACGCTTTGGAGCTCTGCTGTTCAGCAGCAAAATATTTCAGATCAATATGTAAATACTCCAACTCTAAAACCAAGTAAAATAAATATGCTGCATATGTGTATAGTGCGTTCATGTGTGTGTGCGCTGCGTGGTGACGTAGGCGCGTGCATGTGTGCCCCGGTCACAGCTCCTTTCAGCATGGCCGGAGGTAAGTCACTGCCACGTTGCTCTCAGCTAATTAAGGTTTGTTCAGATCCCAAGCTGCAATGTGAATACAGCCAAACCGCCGCGTTTTTGTTTGTCATTAAGAGACTCATTCGGGATAAGTTTTGTGGAGGGCGGAGTTCACTAATATACGCTTATGAGTTTTAGCCGAGAACGCAGCTAAAATGCTAGCATGCTAAGTTAGCCTGATTGCTAGCGGCTACTCGCGGCAGTCTTTTTTTAACAGCATGCACTCTTTTTTCCTTCGTCAGGAGAGGTGTACTGGCAGTCGCGTGACACACACAGATCAGACACATATTTCTGTGTTGCAGGTATGGAGATGTTCTTATGTTTTGGAGATGCTGTCTTTCATTCATTGTTTTTATAAGTACAGTGTTGTACTGCCTGTTAGATGGCGGTTATTAATATAATTGTACTGAAGTATAATGTTTGAACTATAAGTACCAGAATATTGGGTCCTGGTTATTGAATTGTATTTATCTGACTGTTTATTTGTTTTTGAATTATTTTGTTTATTGTTCTTATAAGTTGTTTTTGATGTTTTTTTCAGTGACATATTATTTATTTTGTGCTTTTTGTTTTTGAGAGCTTAAGTTAATGTTTTAAAACAATTTGTTGTATTTGATTCATTATATTATTGTAGTGTTAATGAAGCTGCAGACACAGCTGCTTTCAGCATGGCCGGAGGAGAGGTGTACTGGCAGTCGCGTGACACACACAGATCAGACACATGTTTCTGTGTTGCAGATGTGCAGTAAAGAGCCAAAGACCCAGTACTGTCTCCTGCCTCCTACTTTCACGCCAGAACACAACGCAAGAACAACAGGCGTAACACATGAACGGGTTACACATACTGAGGTGAGTTGTTGAGGATATGTCGAGCTGTTGATAAGCACGGCTGGTTTTGTGCTCTTATATACTGTTAGCCTGTTTTGCTGGCGTTAGTGAAGCTGTTTTCAACTGGATGTAACATTGTTGAACTCTGATGATTAATGAATAAACTCTCGATGTGACGACGTGAGCATGTAATTGTAACCCTGTGTTCATTTAGTCATTTGATACCGTTTAATATCCAGTACATCTATTGGGTGTTTTATAACATGCCCTGGAATCATTTTAAGTTTTACAATGCCGGTGATTTACGACTCTTTCGCGACAGTCAACTGTGGCGTAAACTCTGGCGGGTCTCAGAGCTAGCTTATGTGAGCAAGCAGTGACATCTATACATGCAGTAGCCTTAAAATACTGATTATTTATTCTCCTGCTAGGTAAGAATTTGTGTTTTATACGTTTATTGTCACATTGTGCGCCATGTTATTGTTTCGGTGAAATGAATTTCTACAATGGCGGACTTAGACAAAGTAGTGTTACTGTTAATTTGACTCTCTGCAGTGTTTAAATGCTTACATATACACACACAGTTACTGTCCCTCCACACGTAGGACTCAGTTCTGCTTCTATGCCCCATCTTTGTTTACTCTTTCCCACCCAACAAGTGCATAAATAAGATGTTAAAAACGTCATCATCATATCAAACATGATCGATTTGGGGGGAGTTTGTTTGGCACATGCTGACTGCATCCTAATTATAACCAGAAGAGGAGGCGAGAGCAGAGAACGAGAGTGCAGCAGTTTGGTGAAAGGAACAGGTGAAGAAGAGGTGAGCATCCAAGAGACGAGCAAGAGGACAGTTTCAAAGCAGACATTATGGCACAATAAAAGCTGTAAGAGCAGAGATTTATTCATATCTTTACTATTTTTCTTTAGCTTCTACTCCCGCTGCTTACAATAAATCTGAGATAAAGAACAAACAAGAACAACTCACATGGCATTGATTGTTTAGTTCAGTGTCACTCTGTGATTGTTTGACATTTCATATAAATGTGACTCTAAAATATAGTCAATAATATTAAAAAGCTGCTGTTACTGAATGAAACTTGAAGGATTATGATAAACTTCAGTTCTTACTGAATCTGTAACATTGCTTTTTTTAAAATTGTTAAATGACTTTTGTGTCACTGCACAGTGAAAAGCTCACCTGATGTAGTGGTGAGGCCATGTTCACCACTAGATGGAGACAACCTGGCACAGGTATTTTCTATACACTAAATTTCACACTGAAAAGCCTTGGTGGGAATTGTTGTTTCATAGAAAGTAAAGGAAAACGTGTCTTGGGTCTTTTTCCAGTGTTTTCAAAATTGTGTTTTTCACATACACATCAAAACTTCACACAGACAAACACACACACAAAACAACAAAATATGTCAAATTAGGGAGGGCAGAGAGCGCAGCCTTTACATTGTTTTATCGTAGAGTGACAGGAACTGCCTATGAGCTTCTAATCAAGCAGAAGTGTTGACGGAAAATCTATCAAAGGAAATACATTGATGAAAATCAAAGAAGAGAAATATTTATGTGATGTTCCATTTTCCTGAGAGCTGATTGGCTTGATGACCCTTCAAGTACTACATGCTACTTTGTCCTGCTAGTTAAGCCTGCTGTCTGTTCTCAGGTCTCCTCCTGTTTCACTGCCATATATCCACCACCAGAGGGCTCCACTGACCTGCCTGCCGACATCAGAGCACACCCCTGTGTCATGTGACCTGGCAGGAGTAGCAAAGCTGGACTCAGACCTGGCCAGGCAAGTTCAAAGGCAGCTGTGGTAGAGAGAGTATATGGGCTCAAATTGTGCTCATAAATATTTTGTACTTGTAAATCAATTTGTGTGTGTATGGGATCAGAACGATGCCACCTTGAAATGAAACCGAAAAAAATATTGAAACTGAAATAAATGTACAGCGCGGCTGCAGTCACGGACAAACTTGCATGTGTCTGTTCGGGAATGGCAGATGCTGAGAGGTCCAGCGTTACATTACCGGCTATTTCAAAGTGACAGCCTGAGGTGTTCTTCAGTAAATTGGACTACCAGACAGGAGGACCTGAGGCCCCACCGTATTCTTTTCGGTAAGTTAAATGTGTGTGTAAGCTAATCCGTAACTTAGGTCCTTAGGTGAGCACTCGGCTGTCGGGGAAACTTGTTTTGTAAAGTTCGTTTAGCTAACCCGTGCAGGTGAATGAATTTACCCTGACTAAAGAAATCAAGAGAAACGCACCGGGCTGCTCAGTGACTAACCACGGTTACTGTACTTTTATTATGAGTATTATACTGTAAGAGCAACAGGCTGGACTCTGCTTCTGCTCCTGTGCAGAGCTGATTATTAATAAGAAGCTCGGTATACAGACAAGGATAACACAGTACCCGGGCTAGAAAGACAACTCCAGTTTGAGGCGCATGTCCTCCTGACATTTGGTGTTTGTGTTAACGATCCAATGGAAAAGCTTTGATGGGAGTGAGCTGTTCACTTGCACTATAGCACACAAAACGCTGCGCTGAGCACTGAGTGTTGCATCCGTGTACACACTGCATTGCTTCATATTTCACTCGTAAAGTAGGAAATGGGTGGAGCAGTTTATTAAAAGGGTAAACGTACATGGGTTTGATTGTAAGGCCCAAACAGAGCTGGCACAGGTCTAACAAGCATGAAGGGACAAACTGAGTGTGACATAAGGAAATGCTTACATGTGTAATTATCTTGATTACTGGTGAAGGACTACGTCACATGTAATCAAACATGACTCATTACTTATAAAAACCCTTTAACTAAAAGTGTATCAGAAACTCTCCTCTACTGTTTACTCTGTTTATCACCCAACAGTGACCTCGACCCTCTTCAAGCTCCTCACTGGTCAGTTCGAGTCAGGACGGCTGAAAATCCTCAGTGTTTACTGGGTAAGTTAAACTGATCAGTGGGACACTCAGGAACGGAGACCATGATGCTTTGGGGCAGACCACAGAGGTTTTACTAGTCAGTACAGATTTCAAACACACCGCTACATACTACATTAAGGTCAGTGCATTAAGTGCACTGATCTTAATGTTGTATTTTTCTGGTTGCTAATACACTTGGATCCATTACAAACATACACATTGTTGTGTGATGTGTGAAGACTTTTTATGGCTTTGTTTTTTGTCCGAACAGCACAGAGGAAACTATTTCTAAGCCAAGAGGCTAAAATTCATGCTCCAAATGATACGCAGCAGATAAGATGGATGTAATCAAGCTACCGATAGAAAGAACATAATCAAGGACAAATAAAGTGTCTTTTTTTCCTCATTGTTCTCTGTGTGGGCCTCCTACTTCCTCCGTCTGGTAGTTTGACTCGTACTGATGTGGCTCCTCTGCTTCTTTCACAAACAGTTTTTCCTTCCTGGTTACTGTTGAGCCCGTCACACTCAGCAGCTCGAGCTCGAGCTAAGACAACCTTGAATCTTAAAACTACAGCCGTAATTGCATTTATGTCTTAGAGTGCTGGCCACAGATATTGATCCCATCTGACAGCAGCTCAGTAAAGCACAAGAGCGTCATCTTAAACAGGATATCAGGCAGCGTTCTTATTTTTATTGTCTACTTCTGGTCACATCCTGCTTTTGCCACTGAGCGATCAGCATCCTGTGTTTTATCATGAAGTGATGACTACGTGAGCTCCACTTGTTTAATTCTTCTAACATCTATAAAACAGAGTTTCTAAATGACAGACTTATTTATTTGTGTTTGTGTCTCTGTTTCCAGATGCTGCTGTGGAGAAGTCTGACTGTAAGAATAACACTCAGCTGTCCAACTCCAGTGGGACATCGGAGCAAGAGAAAACCTCTGATTATGTATGTTTGCCTCTTCACCACTCGCACACTCAAGGTTACACTCAGGTCAGGTCCAATATAAGTTTCAGAGTGAAGACGGGCTCAGTGCTGTCAGTACTTTGTCAGGATTTTTATTAGAATGTATTAAATTTAGTGTCCTGCTGTTTGATTTCATGCTGGTCTTTTCCCTCGTTGTAGAACCTTTTCCACCAGCTGAAGTCAGCCCCCAGTGACAGTCTGACCTACCGTCTGGCTCTGTGTGTGTGTCTGGTCAACTATTACTATGGTGGGTGCGGGCTGTTGGACACCTCTGGCAGGAGTTTGTCCTTGAGTTGCGTTACCGGTGGGAAATAACCATTTATTTGTGGGTGGGTACCTCACAGGCTCGTGCTGCTTTGATTTTAAAGATGTCACACATATTAACATTTTCATTTTATAGCAGGTAAAATAAGTATTGAACACGTCAGCAGTTCTCTAAGCAAATATATTTCTAAAGGTGCTTTGATGTGAAATTATCACCAGATGTCGGTAACACAGGGACATTAAACACACAGACATTTATTTATTACTTTATACAAATGTTGGTGATGACAGTTCATGGCAGCTTCTGTATGGAGAAACCAGTCCCATCATTGCTCATGACTTTGACCCACTCACCACACAAACAGTCTATAAATCCCGAATGCTCCGTGGATCCTTCCCACAGATTCAGCTCAGGTGATTGGCTGGGCCGTTCCAGCAGCTTTACTTGATTCCTCTGAAACCAACAGTTTCCATTGGCTGTGTTTGTGATCATGGTCTTGCTGAAACATCCATCCTTGTTTCATCTTCATCATCCTGGTAGATGGCAGCAGATTTTAATCAACAATGTCTCCATTCATCCTTCCTGGAGTTAGATTTAATGGCTCAGTCCCTTTTGCAGCTTGTTATAAAGTTTTTATGCATAACTTTTCTAAGCAATCACACATTTTTTTGGGAACATCAAAATCATCATGCTCCCACCTCCAGACTTCAGTGTTGCTGTGGTGTTTTTGGGATGCAGCCACCCAAACACGGTGTGTTTACAGCATTCAAAGAGTTTTGCTCTT